TCATGGTAATTATTCGGCTCGGCTGAGCTATGATACTTAGACTTTTTGAATTTCAGCGCATCACTATACTGGCGTCAAGATCTAATCAATTTGCAATTTAACTGACTAGATTTAGTCGTAAATTCTATGCTAATAATTTATCCTCTCGCACCTCTTGCTAGTGAAACTCCATTTCCAGCCAACTTTAATCTGCAAAATTTTAAATGCAATGTCAATCGGTATCTACTGTCCCCATGATTACTTTCTCCCCTTTCTACTCATCATTATTTTATTTTTGTTCCTAATTCTCCCACACCGTGTAATCCTTTGTATTTTAGTGGCATCGCTGCCTTGTTTGGGGTGATACCAATTTTTAAAAAAAAATGTATTAAAGCCAGTTAGGTAGATTATGCGTTGCTTTCCTCTGTCCCGCTTTCCTTCAATCTGTCCTGTGAGTATTTGATTTTACAGGCCCTCCTTCCTCGTTACTGACTGTCAGAGAATATGACAAAATGTTCTATTAAAGAAAGAGCTACATAAAAGGACATAAATTAAGAAGACAGAAGTTAACGACTGATATTGCATTTACATCTTTGAAGATCAAACATTACTAAGAAGCTAGATATAGGAAGAGACTTCCACAGGCGCAACAGAAGAAACTGTTAGCATAGAACTTACGGTTACATCTAGCCATTTCAACTGTAAAATGGTTAGACCTTGCCGCAATCTAGTACTGCGCTTAAATCTTAAAGTTTAGGTATCATGGCGGAAACTTCACCAGAACAATTACCATGAAAATATTTATAGAAAAGACACAGGAAAGTTTTGTTACGGTGATGGAAGAGCTGATATGCCAGATCAGGACGAATAAAAATACAGATTTTATCATGGATCTGTAAATATGTAGTAAGATCACAAGGACGAATGGTGAATTTATAAATATTTACTTAATTCTTATGTAATATCAGTCCTTCTACATAGCAGCAAATGTTGGACAATTCCTTTACACATGAAGAAGAGACTTGAAGTAACAGAAATATGGTTTTCAGAAGGATGCTGAGAATATCTTGAACCGAACATGTGAGCAACGATGGAGTTTTCGAGAAAATTGAAACAAAAGGACTCTTATGCCTAACATCAGAAAGAGACAGTTGAATTTTCTGGGGCATATAATGAGGAAGGCCGGCCTGTAAAATGTAATACTCACAGGGCAGTTTGAAGGAAAGAGGGACAGTAGAAAGCAACGCAATAACCTACCTAACTGGCTTTAATAAATTTTATTTAAAAATCGGTATCACCCCAAGCAAGGCAGTAATTCCACTAAAACACAAGGAATTATAGGTTTTGGAAGAATTAGGAATAGAAACAATAATGATGAGGAAAAAGAGGAGAGAGTAATCAGAGGACACTAGATACCGATTGACATTGCATTTGAATTTTTTGCAGATTAAAGTTGACTGGAAAGCATAGAGCCGGAATGGAGGTCCGCAAGCGAGAAGTGCGAGAAAAGAAATTATTAGCATAGAATTTACGGCTAAATCTAGCCAGTGAAACTGTAAATTGATTAGCTCTCGATGCCAGTATAGTGCTACGCTGAAATGCGCTGAAATCTAAGTACCATAGCAAAGAGTTCATCCGAACAATTACCATGAAAGTATTTATAGAAAAGTAAAAGGAAACGACCTTGCGGCGGTGGGAAAGTGACTGGAGCCGAGCCGCCAGATCAGGACCAATAATATTGCTGATTTTTCTTTTGGATCTTATCAAGGAGCTCAAGGTAAATAGCAGGGGCACCGGACCATATGTAACAGCAATAATCTAAGCATGGACGAATGGTAGACTTATAGATATGTAAGATAGATTCTGGAGAGAAAAATTGTCTCGCCCTATATAGTGAACCGACTTTCTTAGCAGCTGTCCTAGCAATGGATTCAATATAGTCATTCCACTTCATATCAGCAGAGAAAATGCGCCCGAGAAGGCGCAACAAGTCACTTTCCCGGGGGTTAGCATTAGCCATGTTGATGGAATGCAACGAGGTGTCTCTCAGATGATTAATGAAGATGTTTACTTTTGAAGGCGTTAAATTTAACAAGCCGTCTTTTTGCTCCTGTTAACGACGGAGTTGGGGTCGTTTTGGACATCTTCTGCCATTTCGAACTTCTTAGGAGTTAACATGGATAGCAGAAAAGAGTTTTAAAAGGGATCACAAAAAGACAATATTTATTAAGAGCTATACAGGATAAGAAATTGTGGAGAGCCATGATCTTCAAAGGTCCTGAAGAGAAACGGCGCATAGAAGACGATGAAAGAGGAAAGGAACAAGAAGTGATCTGTCGTCTGACAATTAAATCTATGAAAATAGTCACCTGCGTAACTTAGAAACATCCATGAAACACTCCCTATCGCTCTCTCTTTCTCTCTCTCTCTCTCTCTCTCTCTCTCTCTCTCTCCACTATCTGCCGTATCCAATCAGGACAGATTTGATCATGTCTCTTCTCAGCTTCCTTTCTCTTCTTAATTACAAAATACTTGCTTTATTATTATTATTATTATTATCATTATTTACGCCTTGCATAATGACGCATGTAATATTAAGTGAAAGATT